TCTCTTTTATATCTGAAAAATAGGAATAATTGCTCATGATATTAAGTGAGGATTGAGTGAAATGATATGTAAATTGCCATGCATAAGCTGCTAAGAGACCCTACTTAGAGCTATAAAGGATCTCCATCTTCAGGGTTATAAAAAATGCTTGCATTGATACAGGGTTACAATGCTACTCTCTCTTGTTTCAGAGGAAGGCCACTGAGATCACTTGCAAATGACTTACTACCTCTGTGACCTTGGGCTTGTCACTTAACTCTCTATGCCTTCTCTCTGAAATGAGGGGAAATAGGAATAACTGCTTTGTAGGGCTTTGCTGAGAGTTAAATAGAGTATTTAGGTCAATATTTTGTATATTGACAGATTATGAAAGATGAAATGGATTTCACAATATTGCAACCAGAAATCAGGCAGATAACCGTGAGAAAGCAAGTGCTCCTGTGGTGTCTCAAGGGGTATTTAGTTAACAATCACTTGTAATAGGCGTCTGTCTGGAGTGGCCATCAGCTGAATCAGCTGAGCCAGTCAGTTGGGTGGGTCTCAACCTTGGGCGTCCTCTCCTCCAGCTCCTGCTATTCAGCCATTTTTATCGAACCATCTTGCCCATAAGTTGCCGTAAGATGGCACTATGGGGATATGCGTGGTCACGTTTGCTTTTCCCTCCCTTTCACTCTTGTTCCTGCAGGCTGAAAGCAAAGTGGGACAGCTTTTATTTTATTTTATTTTATTTTATTTATTTAATTTTTAAGTTTTTTTGCCTTTTAAATATTAAAGGACATCAATGATAAGAATACATTTCAAGGGAAATGAAATGCGTGTAAAGTGTAAGACACATTTTTCATATTTTGAATGGTCTTTAAATGATTAGAAAATGGAGGCTAAAGGGAGAAATGGCACTTTTTATTTCTCTTAGTATTTATCAGTTTAGAGCTAACCTTGCAAATATATTTTGGATGCTAAGATATATAGTAAATAAGTTGATATGGAAGCTGAACAATGGTCATGATGTAAATTATTCATGCCACTGTTGGTAGTACATGCTTCTTGCATAGTATATTTTTTATTCTAGTTACAGCATTTTTCCATTTATGTTATACAAATAGAGGAGTGGAATCTCTAATTGTTCCTTGTCCCCTTCTTTTTTAAATTGTGAATACTTGGGTGGCTTTTCATGTAATGGATACAAGAATGACTCCCACTGTCTTTGAAGGAATAATTGAGTAAAGTTTCAGCCATTTGGAAGAAAGAGAGGTGACACAGCTCAGTGGAGTAAGGCAAACCTGGGGTCACATTCCATTCTGTGCTGTCCATCAACCCCGCAGAAATTCTCAGTTTACTTATATATTTAAAGCACAGAGCATGGCAAGTGGTGGAAGCGTCACCAAATCTAGTTTCCCATCCTCTGTCCCTCAGCTTCTTGGGGAAGCGAGGCAATGATGTATAGGATCATCAGTAATACCGATACTAAAAATGTGTAGGTATTTCCAGAAGTAAGATTGCTGTGGCATCCCAACTTGAAATTGTTTTGTTTGTTCTCTAACATCATTCTCTAAGATCTGTATTTCAGATTTTTTTGTTTTGTTTTGGTTTTTGTTTGTTTTGTCAAGATCAGACTAAAGTTTCTACTGGCACTCTTCCCATTAGTCAGTGATAGCCAGAAGATGTGGTGACTGTAGGCATCTAGGAGACTCCCAAGCCATGCTGCTCAGAGATCTACTACTGGCTTAGGCGAACACAAAGGGAACCTTCAAGATATTGGGTCCCTTTGAAGAGTCAGCACAGGGTTCTAGGATGATAAGAAAGCCTAAAATGAGATCAGCGCTCATAGCACCTCTACTCAGGGAATTGTAGTGGTATTGTGATTGCTTTATTTTCAATTAAATACAAAGATTGATACAAAATTCAAGATGTTTAAATATTAATTTTTGACTAATCATTCCAGCTCACTGGAACTCTTAACTCTTTTAAATCTTTTATGGCTTTCCACATATAGCCATTTGGAGTGTAGCATATATAGTTTGGGTCTTCCTTCTCTTTAGTTTACATATTAATGATATGAATATACTTCTAGATATGTTGGATATGTGTCTTACTGATGAGGATGAACAAAGTCCCCTCCTATACCCTGGTGATTTCCTGCATAAAAGAAGTTGTCTTAGTAAAGAGCTGGTCCTGTTAGTGAATTACTTTGTTAATAGTAGTAATAATAGCTTAGGATCAAATACACAATCATTTTCATCAAAAATTCTATCCTTAGAAAACCACACTGAGATACCACCTCACACCAGTCAGAGTGGCTAACATGAGCAAATCAGAGAACTCTAGATGCTGGCGAGGATGTAGAGAAACGGGCACCCTCCTACACTGTTGGTGGGAATGTAAACTGGTACAGCCCCTCTGGAAAACAGTGTGGAGGTTCCTCAGGAAACTAACAATAGAACTCCCCTATGAGCCAGCAATAGCACTGCTAGGAATTTACCCAAGGGATACAGAAATGCTGAGGCATAGGAGCACATGTACCCCAATGTTCATAGCAGCACTCTCCACAATAGCTAAAACATGGAAAGAGCCTAAGTGTCCATCAACAGATGAATGGATCAAGAAGATGTGGTTTATCTATACCATGGAATACTACATGGCAATGAGAAACAATGAAATCTGGCCATGTGTAGCAACATGGATGGACCTTGAGGGTGTTATGCTGAGCGAAATAAGTCAGGCAGAGAAGGACAAATATCATGTTTGCACATATAGGAGGATTAGGAGGAACTTGACGGAGGAGCAAGGGGGAGAAGAAGGGGGGAAATGGTGGGGGAAAGGGAGAGAGGCAAACCATGAGAGACTCTTGAATGCTGACAAAAACTGAGGACCGATGGATGTGGGGGGAGGGGGAAGGGGCATGGAGGAGGACACTTGTGGGGATGAGCACTGAGTGTTATGTGGAAACTAATTTGACAATAAACTATTTGTAAAAAAAAAAAATTCTATCCTTAGAGTAAACTAAAATTAATACCCATGTTGCCCAGCTGATACCAAAAACATAGTTGTAGTAAATCATACTCTTGAATGTTTGCTACAAAGAAATATGGCCAGTTCAGTTCTCTAGGCCTGAGGATTTTGAATCATGTCCAGCAATGCCACAAAGGTTCTGTGAGATAGTTTAACAGGCTAGTCTTGGGGGCAGTCAACAAGAGACCTCTATGTTATTTCAGCCAGATGATTCCAGTTTGATGCTTCTCCATATTGGTATGCAATACAGAAATTTGAAGAAAAGGTTTTGGTTGCTTATCCATGTACTGTCTTCATCCCTGGATCCAGGCAGGCTGTCAGAGAGCTGTGCACTTGAACTTCATTGCTTGAGCCTTGGTAGAATCTTGTTTCACTGATTTTGTACTTTTCCAGTGTCCCCTTGGAGTGTGCCAGGAGTGTCACAAAATCGTTTGCCATGTTTCTTATATTTGGTGAAGTGTTGTTTTCAGCACATGGCTCAGCACATTATGTGTATTTATGAAGACTCCTAGGGTAAATTCCATCAGTGCTTGAGAGCAGGGCAGTGGCTTCTCCTGAAACAGTAATAAAAAAGAAGATATAATTTTCTCCTATATGCATGAGGACTTTAGTAGCTACTTCCTTTCTTTGGTCACTGGGAAGCTCATAGTCAGATTTGTTCCCTGCTTTTAGCCACTTTGTGGGTAAATGTGCAGGGACAATAACGACTACCTTGATATCCTTTTATTATTCAATCCTTTTATCCACCCTCCCACCCCCCCACTCCACCTTTATTTCTTTATACATTTTCCTGTTACATGCACTGTGGCACATGATCTCTAATCTCCTTAGCTCCAGGAAGACTGTTCTTATTATCCTTTGGGAAACTACCTGGATATCCTGTAGACACATCAGACTTAATATTCCCTAAAGGAAACTCTTCTTATCTTCCTTTTTAAACCTTCCCCTCTTCACCTTTCCTCCTTTGGTAAGAGGTCCCATCTGTTCGATGATATAAGTTGGCAGTCTTGCTGTCTTTTTTATTTTCACTCTCTCATAGTCCATCGGTTTGGTAACTGAATCTGGCCTCTGCACTGCATTTGATGTTTACCCAGATCCTTTCATTTGTCAGTTCTTGCCTGGACTATTTTCCTAGTTTCCTAACTGGTCTCACCCACTATGAATCCATTATGCACACTGATGTCAATTATTGAAAAGTCATTTCCTTGCCTGTAATTCTTATTGTTATTATTTATAGAATGAGGCCCAAATCACTCATATGACATTCAAGGCTCTTCATAATTTGCTCCCCAACTTGTGTTCTAAATCTCTTTTCCATCGATTCCTCCCTCCCTTTGACAGCAGCCACCAACCCACTCGCCAGCCCCTGAACACAAAACACATGTCAGTACTCAGTTCTCATGGCCTGAAATGCACCTCCCCCCATCCCTGACTCCCTCAAGCCCTTGTTTTCCTAAGGCTCCTCTCAGACCTTACCTTGTGTGAGACTTTCCTCTCTTTTTTCTCACCACAGAAGATCTAATTGCTACCGCCTCAATTTTTCCACTTCACTTTCTTAATACTACTGTTAGAGTATTCTTTGCCCTGTGTTGGACTTTGCTGTGTGTGCATGTTTCTTCCCAAATGGTGAGCTCCTCAAGGAATTTGGCTAAGTTGAAGGACAGAGGAGACCAGGTATCTGCCAACCCTTCTCTCACAAACAAAGGTCGACTATAAGGAGACTGTGGAGTCCTAGAATTGATAGTCTCTTTAATGGGTAAGAATTGAAAGCATGGCTAATTAACCTTTGATCTTAAAATGTTTGATTGTATGCACTCGCTTTATGGTAATGGGAAATTCGTAATGTCATCATGATTAAGGTTCTAGCAGTCAATGTGAGTTTTTATAATTTCTACAAAAAAGAAACTTATCTGGTTTTTTTTTTCTTAATTTTTTTTTTTTTTTTTTTTAGGAATAGGAAAGTCAAGAGGCTGAAAATCTGAAGAATGTTTTCAAAGAGTAATCTGGCTGTCACTTGCTGGTTATGGAGGAGCATGAGGAAGCTGTTTCTATTACTTTCTCTCTTGCTGTCCCAGGCAGCTCATTTGGAAGGCAAAAAGGATAATCAGTTCATCTGGAAACCAGGTAGGAATGTTCTGGCTGTTCCTTTGTCCCATTTTCATTAATGAGAAGGCTATTCTTTCCATCCTTGTTCTTATTTGTGGAACAGTAGAGAATATTCAGAGAGGAAAAACAGATTCTTCTTTTTTACAATAAAGCTTACATTTAATTTTTATTTCTGCATAAAATTGCTGCATAAAATACCCGTGATCCTTGTTATCCTTCTGAATTTTATGTTGTTGTCAATTAAAGTTATGATTTCCATAGTTACATCTGCTTCTTTTTTGTCAAATATACCATCATTGTGCAGCACATTGTAGCAAAAATGACATCTGAATTTAACTGATATCCTCAGCTATAAATGCTTTTGACCACTTCTGTATGTTTCTTCCTTTCAGCTAACCAACTAGTTAGCTATTTATTATTAAATATTTTCTAGCATAAATCCTGTATGTCTAATTTGGGAGCATGAAGAATGTCCTAACATTTTTGCTCATTACTTGTGATTCTATAGTCTCCTTAATGTGCTTTCAGATCCTCAGATACCTTATACACAAGTTTATGAATAAGTTGACTTGAAATTTGGAGCCTTGTGTATAACTCATGTTATTTTTTAAGAATTTCCTTAATTTGAGTATAGAAAAGACCTGTTAAATTAGTTTTAATGGCTAATGTTTTATTATCTTAAATAATGAACCCTAAACATTTTGACTCTTTGTATCATTGATGTGTCTCTTTGCTCTAGATTTTAATTTTCTTAAACTTTCATAATCAGATCATTTAAAATATTTATTACTGTTTCTAGAGTCCATTCTTGCAAGTACAGATAACTTATACACTTAATATCTTAGAATAGGAAAATGTGATGTTGTAGAAGATATATGGCCCTTGAAGACTTTTCATTTTAGTTTCATCAGTCATAAATTAAATAGACTGCAAATGTATTGTGTCACCATGGAAATATGTACAAAAGTGATATTTGTAATATTTAAATGACTTTGCAAAAATGAAGGTAAATTGTGCTTTAAAGTATATTAAGTAAAAAGAAAAAAAACAGCTCCATTAGAGATAGAGTCTGGAGGAAATTTAATTGCACTAAAGCCCCTATAAATTAGTATAATTGTGGACTCTAATACTACATTAGTGATTTGTTTTTTTTTTTTTTTTTTTACCTCAGAGTAGGTTTAGTAAGCTTTGGAAATAGGTCTAAAAGTCAGTCTTGCAATTCTGTGAAAGGGGCTATTTTATTCCAATCACAAAAGGCTAAACATTTTATCAAATCTAAATGAGCACATTCATATGACTCTACTCTGTCTAAAGTTCTCAAAAAAGTACAATTAAGATGGAAAGTAGCAAATCTGAACCACAGATGAGATGTGTGAAGAAAAAGGGCTTATTTGGAAATAAATTTTAAAAATAAGACTGCTTTTCTAAAAGCAGGTCATTGGAATAAGAGTGTACAGACCCAGGCTGCGGTGGATGAATTCTCTGATAACTGTCAGACTTCACTTTCAGAGATGGAAGCCTTCCCATCAGACACATTGCACTGTTCACATGAAGCTCTCTGTCATCACTCATATTTTCCCTGATATTTATTACTTCTTTCCCTCTTTAATGTGCTATCAAAGTGGCAATAAATATATTTCCTGTTTGGATTTGCTTTGAAATTATAAATTTATTACTTGTATATGACCAGATATTTAAAAGTAGAAAAAAATTAAAAGCTACAAAATGAAGAGCAGAAGTCCAGACCTTGTATCCCATTTCCTAATCTCTTATGTATCCTTCAGAGATTTTCTTTGCACATGTAGGTACCTCTCTATTCATATTTGTGTATATAAAGCACATAAGATACACGCATACACACATAAAAAATCACTAGTATTATTTATAAAGGTTCTGCCAAAAAAGGAACGGTACATGCAAAGAAGGTCATTGGGAGAAGTTTAATAAAAGGACTGTTTACAGAAGTAGGAAAGTGGGAACACTGTTTAAGAGCAGCGACAAAGAATTACGGAGTGCCCGTGAGCTAGTGTCAATCTTTATGACTTCTGGATCTGCAGAGGCAAGGAAAGGAAGTGGTTTCTGATATCTGGAGAGAAAACTTCATGGAGAGGATGCCTGATAGATGCTGTGGCCTTTAGAGGGATATAACCAGCCTGCAGAGAGGAGGAGGAAAGGGAATGAAGGGCCCTTGCCCTCGCATCTCCTGCCTGGCCTCTCGTTGCCTGAATCTAACCAGAAGTCAAGAGGCAAGGGACCTCACTGACTTATCTATACAGGCCAGCCTCCTGGGCAGGGAGTAGAGTGGAGAATGGTGGAGAATGTGGTTCTGAAAATATCTAATCCATGCATACATATATGTACAGACGTACACACACTTCGCTTCCTGTAATCAGAATCATACCATGCGCCCTTTTTTGCAGCTTGATTTTGTCACATAATGGTGTCTTGAGGAACATGACATAATAGTGCACGTGGGACAGTTTCATCTTTTAATGGTTACACAGTGTTCTTTTGTGTTTCATTTAATAGTTTATTTATCCAGTGTCTTGCTTGGCATTTCAGCAGTTTTTAGTGTTTTGCTACTATAAATTATAGTTACAGGAATACAACATTATTTTAAAGGTAAGCTACATCATTTTTGAGGAGTCATTGTGCACGAGAGCAATTCTGGGTCATTACCTTCAAAGGCAACTTCAACATCTTAGAATCTGTTAATCTACTTACATCTGAGTGTATTATATTTCAATTTGGTTTTATTTTTTTTTTTAATATTTTTATTTTATTTCTAGGATAGAGAGAGACAGCGTGAACAGGGGAGGGTCAGAGAGAGAGGGAGACACAGACTCCGAAACAGGCTCCAGGCTCTGAGCTGGCAGTCAGCACAGAGCCCGACGCGGGGCTCGAACCCACGAACCGCGAGATCATGACCTGAGCGAAAGTCGGACGCTTAACCGACTAAGCCACCCGGGCGCCCCTCAATTTGGTTTTAAAGGACAAGTATTACAGGTGACATTAGTTGCATTTTTGGAGTATGTCATCAAATCTGACAACTCAGGTCCAGTGTATTCTGAAATGTGAACAGCTTTCCCAAGAGACCTAGAAAAATGTACTTTAGAAACCTAGAAACTCTTTGGATTGTAGGATCCACAATTTAAACTTTTTGCTGGTGTCTGTTGTTTTCCCTTGAGTCCATGGATTGGCTGTTAGTCAACCTCATCCAAACTGGAGGCATTTCTAAGTGTTTCCTTATTTTGGACAATGGATTGATGAATAATAAGTGAGTGGTACATTATGTTGCTAAGGATTTCTGTACTGAGAGAAAGTCTGGTGAGCTGTAGGCTGTGGGGGTCATTGATCTAGCAAGGCTGTTGAATGCCTGTCATCATTGTGATGAGATCCTCTAATCCTCTGATTGATATTTAATATTAAGCTATCTGCTACCCATGCCAAGGAAGGATTGTGTCAGCGAGAGTACTAGATAAGGAGTGATGTTGCTTGTTGTTTTAAGTAAATATAACTATTCATGTCTGCATGGTTTGTAGGGATGGACATATCATGGTTTCTGAAGCAGTAGTAATGAGTGGTTTCAAAAAATTTCTCAGTATTGGTGCTAAGAGTTTCATTCATTGCAGAAACTCTTGTCGAGTTCTTATTGTGTGTCAGGCACTGTTACAAGCATGGGAGGTAAATTGAGAATAAAACAGGCAAAGGAATGGTGTAATGAACATGAGCAAGAAGTTAAATAAAAAGTACATTAGATGGTAAGTGTTTAGAAGGAAAGAGAAGGCATGAAAGAGGGATATGCAATATTAGGTGAGAGGCAGAAATCATCAGCAGGTGGGCTATGGGATGCCTCAACAAGGAGGCGAATTAAAAAAAAATAACGGTTATTTATTTTTGAGAAACAGAGCATGGGCAGGGGAGGGGCAGATTGAGAGGGAGACACAGAATCTGAAGCCAGATCCAGAGTCTGAGCTGTCACCACAGAGCCTGACTTGGTGCATGAACTTGTGAACCGCAAGATCATGACGTGAGCCAAAGTCACACAACTGACTGAGCCATCCAGGTGCTTCAGGAGGCAAATTTGAATGAAGACCTAAATGAAGAAGGGAGCCAGCCATGGGTGAAAGAATTTTCCAGATAAAGGCAGCAGCAAAGGCAAAAGGCCCTGAGGCAGGACCATGTGTGACACGTCTAGAGATCAGAGAAGAGGCCAGCATGCTGGAACAGAGTGAGCATGGGGTTAGAGACGGAACAGGACCCAAATAAGGTGTGTCCTTGTAAGTCACATGCAATTTGACTTTTGCTCTGGGTGACAAAGAAAGACACTGGGAGTTTTGAGAGAGCGGTGACATGATCTGACTTCATTTTAATGAAATTTTAGAACAGTCATTGTGAGTGGTCAGTTGAGAACGGTGGAAGCGGGGAGGCCAGTTAGGAGGCTTCTGCAGAAGTAGTGAAGAATGATGCTAATAGCTTGATCTAAAGTCACGGCAGTGAAGGTGGTGAGAAGAGATTGGGTTTCGGATATATTTAAGGCCATCCTTTTCAACCAGAAATGATATTGAACAGCAGGTGATGTTTCTGGTTGTCACAACTGGGGTGAGTTACTGATAGCTGTGGGTAGAAGACACAGGATGGCCCCCACAACAGTGACCAGGCCCCCAAGTATCAATAGTGTCATTGTTGATTGAGAAATATTGATTTATGGTAAAACATCATGACTTACTTATGTGAGGGGGTAGGGAAGGAAAAGATTCAGTGGTGGCACCTAGGCTTTGCCCTGAACAGCTAGATGAGCCAGGCTGGCATGGAGGGACCTTTAGCAGGGTGGTATTGGACATGTTACATTTTGAACCCGTTAGAAATTCATTGGAGATGCTGACCAGGAAGTGGGATGTGTGGGTCTGAATTCAGAGGAAAGTCTGTGGCAAAGATATAAATTTGAAAGTCACTAGCAAAGAGGTAGAATTTAAATGTATAGCTTTAGAAATGAAGGGATGACCTTGAAATTTGTG